GAAACCTGGGGCAAGTCACTTTCTCTCTCTGAGCCTCAGTTTCTTCATCTGTCCAATAAAGTTGTACCGGCTAGATGACATTCAGGGCCTTTCAGTCCTAATATTCTATAATTCCATCAACACTTTTTGTTTTTTTTGAGATGGAGTCTCACTCTGTGAGAGTGATCTTGGCTCACTACAACCTCTGCCTCCCAGGTTCAAGCGATTCTTCTGTCTCAGCATCCCAAGTAGCTGGAATTACAGGTGTGTGCCACCATGTCTGGCTAATTTTTTTGTATTTTTAGTAGAGATAGGGTTTCGCCATATTGGCCAGGCTAGTCTCGAACACCTGACCTCAGGTGATCCGCCGGCCTCAGCCTCCCAAAGTGCTGGGATTATAGCTGTGAGCCACCGTGCCTGGCCTCCATCAAAATTTGAATTCCTTTGAAACCTTTTCCTTGGATAATTTAATCTGAATTTTTTTGGGGCAGCCAGTTTGCACATTTCTTTATACTAATTAGTTTGGTTAATGCTTTGTATTGCATATTTTCTGGTTGGTCATTAGATTTTAAAAAATACTAATAAATTGAAATTTCAAAATTGGAGGTCTGCTTTTCTATTATTGTGGTAAGAGTTTGAGCTTGCCTGCAAGTTCTGAATTTGAGTTTGTGGGATGACAGGGAGATGTGACAAGAGGTGTGGGCCGATTGTGTGCAAAAGAGTTGCCAGTGGTGAGCTCATGTGTGCTGAGTGTTATGAGACATCTGTTTGGGCATCAGGCACGCTCAGTGGAGAGGGAGCTGGACTTTGGAGATGGTTAAAAATATGCTATGGCTCCCACAGATTAAACCAAATAGTTTCCTATGAACGGAGGTCATCTAAGGAGATTGGATTTCACAGGAAGAACTCTAAAATAATTAGATTGAAAAAGTATAACATATACGCCAAGTTTCCTCTGACAAATACCTTTTTTCTCTGGCCTAGGTCTCCCATTGATTATCTTGTTTGGAGGGCTATAGGTATTTCTCAAGTTACTAATGAATTAGGTTTCCAAAGTCAGTTGTTTGGAATTATGAGCATAGTTTCTAACTTAAATCATTCTTGTAAACTCAGGCTAGACCACAAAACCTCATTGACATATTGAAGGCAATTGACACAATCCTGCCAAAGGTGGTGCTCTACTGATGAATTAAACACATGAACAATGAATGGATGGCTGGATAGGATGACTTAATAGTTAGCCTTCTACCCTATGATTCTCTTCATTTGTTAATTTATTTTTGCATTTATCCTTTTGACAAATGGGTTTTGAGTGCTGGCTATGTCCTCAAAAGTGCTGCAGACAGTGTTGAGCAAATGTTGAGGTCCCTGTCCTCATGAAGAATATTGTCTAGAGGTGAAGACAGACAGTAGTCAAATGGACCCCAGCAACCACATTTGTGATCTGTGACCCTGAGCTTGACCACAGTTGACTGGACCAGAGGTGGACAACTATGCTGAGCTAGAGCGATCAGATTCTCTCTCCAGTGAATTTGGAATGAGCACTGAGTGACAGGTAGTTAGTCAGTCAGGACTGATCATTTGAATAGAGGGAATGTAAAGTGGGAACCTAGGGATGAGGGAGCAGCCATCTTCTGCCACAGTCAGGGAGAAGCAGAGAAAGCTCTGATTCTGTTTCATAAAGACCCTTCATACCCATTCATTCTGCCCTGCCCTCATTATTGCTCATCTTCTAACACTTGGCCACCAAGTAAACCAGTCTCCCTGCTCTCAGCCTTTCCCTTTCACTTGGATATTTTGGTTTTCCATGTAAAATTCATACACACGCATGCACGCACACACACACATATATAAATGTGCACATACATACATATATATGTATGTCTACGTATGTGTAGAGGTATGTATAAAATGTATGTATACCTGTATACATAAAAATGTATATACACACAGACACATTCAAAGTTATCTTGCTGGCCAGGTGAGGCGGTTCATGCCTATAATCTCAGTACTTTAGGAGGCTGACGCAGGCGGATCACTTTAGCCTAGGAGTTAGAGACCAGCCTGGCAACACAGTGAGACCCTGTGTCTACAAAAATAAAAAAAATTAGCCTGACGTGTGTGCCCTTAGCCCTAGCTACTTGGGAGGCTGAGGCAGAAGGATGCCCAAGAGTTTGAGGCTGCAGTGGGCTATCATGGCACCGCTGCAGGGCATTCCAGCCTGGGCAACAGAGCGAGACCCTGTCTTGCTCCTTCGTCTTCCCCAAAGCTGGAGCCATGGGCAAACAGAAGGGTGTGTTGGGAGTGGTGATGCTCTGATCCTTCTCGGCTCCCCTTTTCTCTGCCTCAAACTTGCCCTGCCTATAAATCTCATAATAGCCTGCCTTTTATGTGCTGTTCATGGAAAGGGATCCAAGGTCAACTCTTTTAGTTATTTGATTCATTTTGCTGACACACAAACTGGCACGTTCTCCATAATAATGTCTTTGGATGCCAGAACTGAGGGTAAGATGAAAGCACACAGGAAATATTTGGTAACACGAGGAAACTAGAAAAATGAAGGAAAGGGTAGAAATAAAAATGGTATCTCTTTAGTTGAAAAATACACAATGAAAAAAGAAAGAAGAGGAAGGGAGAAGGGAATGTTAAATTAGAGCATTCGGAATTAATATTTTGTGCTTATCTTCACAGAGCACAGACACACACCCAGTGGTGGATATATTTAGGAAAATGGGATCATCCTGTATAAAAGTTTTAAAGTAGTTTACTGTGACCACTTCTCCCCTGTCATTTTCAATGGTTGTAGAATCTTCTATCACATGGAAGCACCAAATGCAGTTAAGAATTTCTTTATTGTTGGATATTAAGAGTGTATCTAATTTTTCTCTATTATAAACAATGCTGTGATAAAACCATTCATAAGTATTTTCATACATCTGTCAATTGTTCTAGAACAAATTGTTTGAGGTAGAATTTCTGGGTCAGAGTTTATGGACATTTTAACAGTTTTTGATACTGTCAAACTGTCTTCTATAAAAAGTGATATTCATCCGTAGTTCCAGTACTATTTTATGAGATTTCTATTTTCCTACACTTTCATTTACAGTTTTAGAATTAAACATTTTTGCCAATTTGACTATCTGAAGGAATTGTATTATTGTTTCCATGTTCAGTTTTATTATTTGTGAGATGAAAGTTTTTAAAATGTCTGTGTATATGTATATGTAAAGATATAAAGATATATGTGTGTGTATATATATACATATATACACTCACACATGTATATACACACACACCCACATACTACATATATATATATATATATATATAAGTCCTTTGTATTTCACCTTTAATGATTTGTCTGTTCATATACTTTGCCCACTTTTACTGAGGTTTTGATTTTTTTAAAAAATCTTTTTTATTGATTTGTAAGAGCTCTTTATAGAGTAATGATGAAACTGATTGATACGGTTAGGCTTTGTGTCCCCACCCAAATCTCACCTTGAATTGTAATCCCCACATGTGGAGAAAGAGAAGTGATTGGATTATGGGGACAGTTTTCCCCATGCTGTTCTCATGATAGTGAATATGTTTCATGAGATCTGATGGTTTTATAGAGGGCAGTTCCCCTGCACTCGCTCACACACTTTCTCACCTGCCGCCGCGTAAGACATATGTGCTTCCCCTTCTGCCATGATTGTAAATTTCCTTAGGCCTCCCCAGCCATACAGAACTGGGAGTCAAGCCTCTTTTCTTTATAAATCACCCAGTCTTGGGTAGTTCTTTATAGCAGTATGAGAGCAGACTAATATACTGGTTATGTAAGCTATGTTTTTTGTTTGTTTGTGATTTTTAAAAATTTTACTGATGGTATTTTTTGATATACAGAAGTTAAATAAGTTTATGTGGGTAGCCAATTATATCAATCCATAGAGTCTATTTTTTTTTTTTTTTTTTTTGAGATGGGGTTTCACTCTGTCACCCAGGTTGGAGTGCAGTGGCGTGATCTCAGCTCACTGCAAAATCTGCCTCCTAGGTTCAAGTGATCCTCCCACCTCAGCCTCCCATGTAGCTGGGACTACAGGAATGCACCACCGCACCTGGCTAATTGTTTTTTCTATTTGGTAGAGACGGGTTTTCACCATGTTGCCCAGGCTGGTCTCAAACTTCTGAGCTCAGATGGTCCACCACTCTCAGCCTCCCAAATTGCTGGGATTACAGGCATGAGCCACTGTCTCTGGCCCATAGAGTCTATTTTCTCATACCCCTTAGAAAGGCTTTTGTCACTGGGCACGGTGGCTCATGCCTGTAATCCCAGCACTTTGGGAGGCTGAGATGGGCAGATTACCTGAGGTTGGGAGTTTGAGACCAGCCTGACCAACATGGAGACACCCCGTTTCTACTAAAAATATAAAATTAGCTGGGCGTGGTGGCACGTGCCTGTAATCCCAACTACTTGGGAGGCTGAGGCAGGAGAATCGCTTGAACCCAGGAGGTGGAGGTTGCGGTGAGCCGAGATCACGCCATTGTACTCCAGCCTGGGCAACAAGAGTGAAACTCTGTCCTAAAAAAAAAAAAAAAAGGTTTAACCATTTTTTTTTTTTTTTTTTAGTTATAGTTTCATTTTTCTATGTTTATAGAATGTGTACTCTAGAGCCAAACTACTAGTATTCAAGATCTGGTTCTGCAACTTACTGTGTTATCTTGGACAAATTAATTAACTTCTGTTTTCTTTTCTGTAAAATGGGTTAAATAATTGATCCTAGCTCATGAGATTATTGTAAGGATTAATGAAAATAATAAATAACTTTTTTAAATTTTTGAGATGGAGTTTTGCTCTTGTTGCCCAGGCTGGAGTGCAATGGTGCAATCTCAGCTCACTGTAACCTCTGTCTCCCAGGTTCAAGTGATTCTCCTGCCTCAGCCTTCCAAGTAGCTGGGATTACAGGAGTGCGCCACCCGGCGAATTTTGTATTTTTAGTAGAGACGGGTTTTCACCATGTTGGTCAGGCTGGTCTCGAGCTCCTGATCTCAGGAGGCCTTGGCCTCCCAAAGTGGTGGGATTACAGGCATCAGCCACTGTGCCCAGCCTATAAATAACAGTCCCTGACATACAAAATTACTCAGTAAATGTTAACTATTTTCATCTGGAATATATTTTGCTATGAGGTGTGAGGTACAAGTTCAAATTTATTTCATCTTTTTCTAAATCAGCCAATTGTGCTAACTTAGAAATACCGTTTGTTAAACAATCTACCACTTTCCAACTAATTTAATGCCAGCCTTATCATAAGGCAAATTCTCACTTGGTCTTTCATTTGTTTTTTCAGATCTCTGTTCCACTTCTCTGATGTGTCTGTATCTGTAGCAGCAGTTTTGACTGTTACAGTTTTACAACATATTATAATATTGATCTTATAAGTCTATCTTTATTATTTTTCAAGATTATCTGCACTAGTCTCATCTGATTGTTCCTCCAAACAATGATTTAGAATAATGTAATTCATAAATTAAGTTGGAGAAAATGGCCTTTTATATTTTTATGTTTTCTCATCCATCAATAGCACATTCCAAATTTGTGATTTTCGAATGTAAGTTCCAGCCTTCTTTTAAACATTTACTTCTAGATTTATTTTATTGTCGATATTGTAAAGTTTAACTTTTCTCTATTTTAGCATCCTACTCTTAGTATATTTATTTTGTATTTAAATATTTTACTGAATTCTCTTACAGTATTTCTGTTGATATAATTTAATATTTTCCATTTCTAATATTTACCTATTATTACCTTTTTCTTGTTTTATTGTGTTGATTAGCAGTGATGTCAGGTGCCTTTATCTTATTCTTGTCTTTAGCAGGAATACCTTCAGTATTTCATAAATAAAGTAGTTTAGTTATCCTTACTTCTGTTAAAAATATACTTTAATTCCAGTTTAAGTGTTTAAAAAATTTAAGCAAATATCAAATAACTTTTTGATATAAAGTAAGATAACCCTATTGATAGATATTTTTATTCATGTTAAGGAAATAATTTCCTATTCACGGTCAGTTGATAGTTTCAAAAAGTAATATTTTAAATTCTATCAAATATCTTTTTGATATCAAGATCATTATATTGTTCCTATATTTTCACCTACTGATATACCTTTTATAAATTTTTTTCTAATAAAAATTATCTGCACATTTCTGAAATAAACTTTTGAAAAGTTCTGAAATTAATAATCTTTGATTTAGGATTTTTGCACCCAAATTCACGGGTGAATTTGGTCATGTTCCTTTTGTTGTGAGCTACTTTATGTTAACTTCACAAAACAATCTGGGAGGATTTTCATCTTTTTATATGTTCTGTATTTCTGAAATAGCACAAGAATTACTTGTTCTTATAACAGGTACATAAGAATGAGGTAATTCTCTCAAAAATTTTCTAGACATGCTGTTATTTAAAAGTATAGTTCTTAGATGCCTTTAAAAATTTTTGCCACAGATATTGACTGATTCAGGTTTTGTACTTTTTTTGAGTCAATTTCTGTAATTTATCCTTTCTTAGAAAATCATTCATTCATCAAGATTCTAAAAGCATTTGCATACATTTGTACTTTGTACACCGAACATTCTTACAGGTAAACAAATCTCCTTATTTGTTGTGATAGCCCTTTTGTCTTTCTTAGTAATTACATATTTTAATGTTCTGACCTTCTTTTTTAGATTTGTCTTTCAAAGATTCATCAGTGATGCTGGTAGTTCCAAAGACATTCTTAAAGACTTCTCAGTTCTACTGATTTTGCTTTGTTTTCATCACTTTGTTCTTCATTCATAGATTCCGTGTTTCTGCTGTCTGTAGATTTGTTTCATATTATTTTCTAAGTTTTAACTAATTCTTACCTCATTTGTTTTCATTTTTTCTTGTTTAATAATGAAAGAATTTAAGGCTATGATGTTTCCAAATCCCACAAGTTTTTATTGAGATGTTCCAATTGTCATTATTTTCTAGGATCCCAGTTAATTGCAGTTTTGATTTCCTCTTGGACTGAACAGTAATTTATGAGAGTGCTTTAAAACTTCAAAGTGCTTTTTTTTGAGACAAGGTCTTGTTCTGTCGCCTAGGCTGGAGTGCAGTGGTGTCTAAGTGCTTTTTTTTAAAGCAAGAGTTTAATCCCTTATTGCTAAATTCTAGATTTTTATTTTTATTTTTGGTGGTATATGTGGACTGTAAAAATTATATGTTCTCTTTTTTTCAGGTTTTCTTTGTGGCCTAAGTTATAGTTGAGTTTTACAAGTTAAGAAAATAATATGAATTATTTATTTGAAGGGTGCTGTTAAATAAATATCTATTAATTATTTTTTTGATTAGATTTTTAGTTAAAGCCTCTCTATCTTTTATTTACTTTTTAATCTGCTTGGTTTACTGAAATCCAAGGGTGATTGTGAGTTTATTAAACTACTTTTCTCCAATGTTTTACACAATTATATTTGCACAAACTTTGCTCCTTTAATCACCGGGCCACCCAAGAGTAGCAGGGAGGGTGCTCTTTCAGGGCTCTCTGGGCAGAGGGAAAATCTTCCATCCCAAATAATTCTTGCTTCCTGTTTGTGGTGGTGGTGGCTTATCTGCAAAGGTGGCTGCCATCTTTTCCCGCTGTAGTACACACGTGCTGTGGAGAGGAGGGGTCTATGCCTCTACTCCCTTGCATCTGGGTTGCTGTGATCGTTTGAATATAATGGAAGTGATGTTGTGCTAGCTTTGAGGCTGCCTCTGAGGCCTGACAGTTTCTGCTTCCTGTTTTTGGTGTCGTGAGCCTCCATGTAAGAAATCCTGGCTAGTCTACTGCAGGGAGGCCTGTTGAGGTACAATGAAGGCGGTCAAAGGAGTGAAGAAGCCTTCTGGGATATCCAGTCAACCTTCCAGTGATTCCAGCCCCAGCCGCCATCTGTCTGCAACTTCATGAGAGACTCCAAATGAGAACTATCCCACTGAGCCCAATCGACCCAAAAAATGAGAGGGAAAAATAGCAAATTGCAGTTTAAGTCATTAGGTTTGGGATGGTTTGTTACGGAACAATACTGAAACAAGAAGCAACTCATCACTTTGCCTAGTGGGGTCACTCATGGTGTGTGGAAGCTGAGTATGAGTTGTAGGTTTCCCCCCTTTTTTTTTGGGACTCTGAACTTGGCACCCCTCCCAAAGGTGCTGCGGAGGATCCTGATCTATGCTCTGGTTGTTGCCTGATGGACTAGGACTTTACGCCACTAGAACCCAAGGTCCCCAGGAGAAAGATGGGATAACTGGATGACAGAAAGATGTAACTCCAAAGGTAACCATCACACATTTCCTTTTCTGTCTTCTGGATATTACCCCACAGTGTTCATTTTGAAATGTAGGTTATAGATTGGATAAAGAAAATGTGGTACATATACGCCATGGAATACTATCAGCCATAAAAAAAGAATGAGGTCATGTCTTTTGCAGGAACATGGATGGAGCTGGAGGCCATTATCCTTAGCAAACTAAAGTAGGAACAGAAAACCAAATACTGCATGTTCTTACTTATAAGTGGGAGCTAAATGATAAGAACTTATGAACACAAAGACAGAAACAACAGACACTGGAGTCTACTTGAGTAGGGAGGGTAGGAGGAGGGAGAAGAGCAAAAAAGATAACTATTGGGTACTGGGCTTAATACCTGGGTGATGAAATAATCTGTATAACAAGCCCCCATGACATATGTTTACCTATGTAGCAAACCTTTACATGTATCCCCAAACCTAAAATAAAAGTTAAAAGAAATGTAGGTTATTATGCTGGTGAGAAAGGGCTGAACTCAGGACTGGGAAAGATGCTGCAATCGGGAAAGGGGTTTGTGCCTATCTACACACTTGTGCAGGCTTACTTGTGTAAGCCAAGCCTATGACATCCTATCACCTTCTCTCACACTGCCAGTGGGGAGCTTGAGGTTGAAAAGTGTCTCCTGATTCTGAAGTCAGGCTAAATACATATACTCAAATTGCCATTTTGACTTGAAAATCTTAAAAAACATTAATAAATACTTAGACACAGAGGAAACACAGTAAGATAAAGTAGCCTTGCCATCAAAATAGGGATGAACAAACTCTGTCCTAAGGCTATATGAAATGCTAACTGTCCATGTCTACCCTATGCATAAAGATACAACTAATTACTTGCAATACAAATGAATTTGTAAGGCCAAGTGGTGAAGAACTCACTCTGATGGCCTCCGAGGAAGGTCAATAAACCATCATAGCTAAAAAAGGCAAAAATATACTAGATGACATAAGGAAATAAAACCTCCTTGTCTGATGCTTAAATCCCTTCTTTAAATCTCATCACTCTATAAAACCATGGCATGTTATGTTTACACCTGTTTAGTTCTGACAAATTTCAAGAAATAAAGACAAAATAGGGTTGGAGAAAGGAGATTTAGGAAAAGTGATCAGGTGGCCAAAGTGCTGTCACTAAACAGAGACTGGCTCAGAATTCACACCTTTTAAAGTGGCAAGACAAAGAATTATGCAGAGATACCCTGGGTGTATACTTTAGAGGTGGTAGAGGAAATTGAAAACAATAAGAGGAAGCAAATCATGCTGAGTGGTGACCAAGTGTGGCACATCCTAAATATTGTTTCTTAACTTTGCTCGTCTTAAAACCAGCCATTGGTACTGACCATCTTCTCTTCATCAATGGCATCAAGTCCAATATACACTCCTGGGTCCTGCCAAGCAGTGTAGCAATTACCTCTCCAAAGAGCCTGGTTTTAATCAGCATTTTGGATGGGTCTCACTAATGCTTTAGATTTAATGCACTTTTCTAAGATTAAAAAAAAAAAACCACCATGGCACGGTCATGCTGAGTGAGTGAAAGTCTGACCCTGGATGAACTAATATTATTTAGAGTCTTCCTTCTTGCCCTTCCTGTCTCCCCTGTTAAGAATCTTGAGGATATTTTTCCTGTCCCCAGTTTAATGACTCTAACTACTTAGAACCACCATTAGTATAGTCTTTGGATTTATTATTTTATTTATATTGAGGTATTTGCTTTAAATATTGGTGCCAGAAGATAAACCAACTAAGATTGTTTGGTCAAGAGCATTATTTAGCTTGGATGTAAAAATGTAAAATTATGAAATGACTGATTCATCTGGTGCACAGCACCAACCTCATTCTGCTCCATATATACAAGCTCATGGATGAAGATTTGTTTTCTTCTTTTGCACCAATGCAAGGAATGCCATCTTCAGGATGAGTTCTTTTACTATGCCTGTAGCCGTCAACACCTTTTCTCCAAAATGGAATATTAATTTTCTTAAAAAAGAACAAGTTTGCTTTTGTGTTTCCAGTATTGTTGCCAGTGAGTGGCACTGTTATGGACCAAATGCATGTGTCTCCCCAAATCCATGTGTTGAAGCCTCAGCCTTCAATGGGATAGTATTTGGGGGTAGGGTCTTTGGGAGACACTTAGGGTTGGATGAGGTCACAAGGGTGCCTCCCTCATGATGGGGTTGGTCCCCTTAGAAGAAGAGTTTCCACAGGGCTTGCTTTCATTCTACTCACACGTGCACCAGGAAGTGGCCATATGAGCACACAGCCTGGAAGAGGGGCCCCACCAGAATCTGATCACACTGGCACCCTGATCTCAGACTTCCAGTCTCCAGTACTGTGAGAAAATAAATTTCTGTTGTTTAAGCCCCACAGTCCATAGTATTTTGTTATGGCAGCCTGAGCACACTAAGAGAAGCATCCTAAATGGGTAGGTGTCTGCTAGGTTCTCAGCACTTCACACACGCACCATTTTCCTATCCCACGACATTGTCACACTGGCCAAGCCCCCTACTCATATGTATTCATTTGAGGGGCCAGTTGTTATGGAGTGAAAACTTTCATACTAATCCCATCTGCCATTCACTGAGTGCTTACGCTGTGCCAGGCTTGGCACTAGCTGCTTTATATTCATCAACTCATTTTGTTCTCCTAAAAGCACTGTTGGTTAATATCCCCTTTATCCTGACACAAAAATGTAGAAACAGCTCAGAAAGGCTATGTAATTTTCCCAGGCTATCTCTGTAAGTAAGTGACTGAGTGAAGATATAAATCCAGGTCTGTTTAGACTCTATGCTCTTTCTTTTGAGCAACATGTGCTTTTAGATTGGAATAAATCTAGGGCAGAATGAATCAAGAAGCATAGCAATGAAAAGAGTTGGCCACCAGTAATATTACCCATTTGAAAAGTTGTCATGGGTCCCAACACTTACCCAGCCTCCAAAGCTGTTCTGTTCCAGCTTTCCATGTCTCTATTTCTTCCTTCTTTAGGATTTCAGTGCCCTACAGCAACTCTTCCTGGAGAAGCGCCCCGTGTATCCCTATCCCTTTTTCCAATCACAACTTACTTGTCCTATGTGCCTCTCCCCTCATAATCCTCTGTGCTTTCTAAGGGACAAACCTCTAATCTGATCCACAAGCTGGGTCCACTATAGTGGTTTATTTCTTAATAGGCTCTATCTTTCCATAGACACAAAAATATACTATCATAGAGATTGATAACTGTTTCCCATATGCATTTTCACTTTCTTCCTTTAGTAGTAGAACCCCTGAGTTTCACTGGCCACATGACCAGCCAGCAATGACTACATTTCCCAGCCTTCTTTGTAAAAGCTGCTTCAAGAGGCAGTAAATGATGCTGAGCTTGACCTAGTGTGGTGCATGAATTGCAGGTGGGTGTGGCCTTCTTTGCATCAGGGTGTGGCCATGTAATCTATGCTCTGGCCAGCTGGAGGTGAGCAGAAATTATATGTCCAAATTCTAAGCTGTGCCTTAAAGAGCACACCCCAGCCCTTTTCATTATTGGACTATGCCGACAAGAACCACACTCTTGGAGTGGTGGAGAAAGAAGATGGAAGGAGCCTGGGCCCCTGACAGCATGGAGCCGCCATGTTGACTCTGGACAGTTTATTCCCAGAGAGTTACATGTGAGAGGCGAAAAAAAGGTTCGATGGTTAAAGCTTGTATTATTTTGGGCTTTTGGTAGGTCGGCTGAACTTCTAACCTAAATAATATAATTCAAGAAAGGAACCTTCTGATGACAGTATTTTATTGTAAAGGAGTGGCCCCAGTGCTGGGCATTTGGGGTGCTGTGGTAGGCTCTTGTGATCTTCTGGGATCAGGCTGGGCTTTGGGCAACCTCTTAATTTTTGACCATGGAGTTGGCTGCCCACCTTTAAAGAGGCAAGACCTGCCCAGCTGACTCCCAGAAGCCTCTGGACTGTTTCCTGGACTTGTCTGCTTTTCAGGTAAGGGCTGCCATGATCCTGTCAGAGTGCCTTTCAGATGAAACTGAAGGAAGACAGTAGTCAAAACCCTGAAGTATTCCGGCTAATGTCAGACAGAGAAACAGAAAATTTACAGCACTCAAAATCTGGGATTCATTTAGGAGTAAAAAAAAAGCATTAAGTTATCCAACCTCAAAACTGTTTTCAGGCTTCCAGTGGGCCCCAATACTCTTCTTAATTGCAAGACCATGTAGAAGTTGGATCTGAAATGAGACCACGAGCCAGTATCAAAATGCCCCATTTTCATGGTGCACGAAATGCTTCACGTATCCAGCCTGCACTAATTAAATGTCTGTGATACTTCTCCCCAGGCTGGGCTGAGCTCGTGCTCTGTATGATCTGGGAAGAAATGGTTGTTGGACTCATATTGAGATTGTAAGAGGAATCTTTAAGAGGAAAAAAAATACATGTTAAATCTTTTGGAAAGAGGCAGGGTAAAGGTTTGGGGGATTTCAGCACCTGGATTATAAATAATGTTGCTAATTACCAATGAATTTTATTTGTTCATTAAAAGTGGACTCAGCAGAAAGCTCCACTTGGAGAGATGACAAACGGTATGACCTCTGCTTCATTTCTGCTATTTCAATGGTTTCTCCTAGTTGCACAAACCCTTACCAGGATAACAAGGTCACCACAAGTGCCTGGATGGGCCTCTGACTCCAGAATTCTTCTCAGCCTCCTCTCACTGGTTATGTTGCTGCTCCTAGCTTACAGCATTTCTTACTTGTCAATCACCATTTTGGCTCCTAGGCTCTCCCATTTCCTACCGATTGATGAGGCCTTTGGAACTAGCTTGAACTTTGTCTTCCTCTGGCCTCGTGACCTGCTCCACGTCCTTCCCCAGTTGACTGGTCTTTCACCAGGTCCCTCTCCACAGGGGATGATGAGGACTGGGACCTGGAGGAGCGTCTCTGAGCTAGATCCCAGGGCCGGCTCACAGAGATCAGCTCTGGAGTGAATTCAGCCAGAGAACCCAAATAAACTCTGTGAATCCAGACAGTCCAGGAAAAGAAAGGTGACCTCATGCTTAGTAAGAACAATCTCTGTTCAGTCTCTAAAGACCCTGCAATGAGTGGGGTTGCTGGTGGTTTGGCCCACTCCCCCTTCTCATGCTATGGCTACCAACCCCCTCATTGAGGAACAGGATTCTTGAGGCTGAGAGATGTGGCTGGGACTGAGGCAGAGGAATGCAATTGAGAGGCAGTGTGGGGGGACACTGCAGTTCTGAACAGCTCACTCTGATTTTCTGGGAGCCTTAGCTGTGCAGTGGTTGAAATTATGAATAAGCAAAAAGCCCAATAGTGACAGCAATACTCCTTGTCCTCTTTCTGGCCATCACAATTCCCATCTGGTCCTTTCCTGCTTTTCAGCCTTCTTTCTTTAACGGCAGGGACTTTGTCATTGTTTGGTCTAAAAGAAGCTCTGGAATAACATCCAACATTTGCTACTGTTCAATCAATAAGCTCCCTGAAGAGGCTAAAGAACTACATTGTGAAGCTGGAGAGGGAGTCTGGGGGTTTGCATCATCAGTTTCTCTAAACTTGTTGCTTTTTCTCAGCTCGCCTCTCTCCGGCATCCTATCTCCCTTGCTTCTCCCCTGCCCATGAGGTTAATGAGTGCCTCCGTAGTGAGCTGAGCAGAACACCAAAATTTCCCTGCCTTGAGGTGTCTTCTTCCTACTCTTTGTACCCTGGACATGTCCAGACTACCACTTGGTCTGATATATATGTTTTTAAAGTATTTATTTTTTTTATAAAATAAAAAATAAATTTTTTAATTCACTCTGTCACCCAGGCTAGAGTGCGGTGTCACGATCGTGGCTCACTGCAGCCTCAACCTCCTGGGCTCAGGCGATCCTTCCACCTTGGCCTCCCGAGTAGCTGGGACTACAGGCATATGCCAGTGTGCCTGGCTCAGTCTGATATTTTCAACATTAGGGATCCCCTGTGGGAATCTCATGGAGATTCCTCTTAAAATGCCAGAGTGTTATCCAGGAGAGAAATTCCCTGGACACTGGGATCTAGTAACATGTGGGTTAGCCAGAATAAGGATCTATTCTTTTGAGGCCAGGGATAGGGCGCTTGGGACTGTGAAATTTGAGAGGTGGTGATCGGGATAAAGGGACACAGGAAGGTCAAATTTTGAGGGAGTGGGGGGAGGCAAAAGGACCAAAGTGTGCAGAGCACTACAGAGAAGAGAAGGGAGGGGCTGGCCAGGAGATGAGCACATGAACTCATTCACACAGACTGGCAGCACCACAGAAAACGGAGGGAGGGTGACACTCAGGATGTCTCCAGGCAGCTTCTGACCTGGGGCTTACCTCCCCAAACTGTGCAGTCAGCCCAAGAGAGACTTGTTTAATCTCCAAGATTTCTCTTTACATGTTAGTCACACGGTATAATGTGAACTAAGCGCAAATATTAATATTTTAGGAGGAGTACTTTTGTAACGGAGAGTGGCGTTGAGACTCTTCTGCCTCTTATGTCATTTTCAGAGGAAAATGACATTTTGCAAGCGGCCAGGAGCCATAGATTTACGTGTTTGGGGATGGAAGAGCAGCTGTATCTGAAGACTGCTGTGTAGGATCACGCCAGGGTGTCTGTCAATCCTTTATGCTCTGGTTAAGAGAGTGCCTGAGCAACGGTGGGGCCCTGCAGGCTCTTTCCCTAGGGATGGAATGGAATGCAAGCCCACCTTCCGAAACTTGGAAGTCGGGCACTTGCAGGGAGGTAGAGGTTTGAGGGCAGGGGAAGGGAATAGGGAGGAAACAAGGTGATAAAACTAAAGTGAAGAGCAGCAGCAGGACATGGTACTTCATTCTTCCCATAAACAGAACAATTTTACAGCTGATTACCATCTGGATTACCTTTCGCCCACTTTCAAAGTGTGTTGCCACAGTCTTCTGTCAAAACAACAGCGATCTCAACCTTCTGTTCCAGAAGGTTGGTAGTTACATGGACATTACTTCTGATTTGAGTCTCTGAAATAATGATCATACACAATCTGACGATCGATGAGGATGGTATCAAAAGGAAAATTCCCAGTCTGGAAGCCTTGAAAGTACTTCTGAGGAGATCCTATTTGTGTTTTTGCCTGGCTTATGCCAAAGATAACCTGGTATCTGTATCAGTACAGGTCATCTCTCAAAGGCTATTGGCACAGTAGCTGGTTTTTTTCTATTACCTTAAATGCTACTCAGGGGCCCTGACCATGCAGTTATAGTAGACAGTGTTCAACTTGTCATTGGCAGGACCAGGTGGCGATGAGAACACAGTTTATGTGCCAGAGTTTAAAACTCCGAGGGAAGAGTGGAGGTGTGGTTTTTGCTCACTACATACCCAAAGGTTAACTGAAATTGGGTATATATCTACATTTGAGATTAAACAAATCATCTGTAATTTTTAGCCATTTCCTCCTTTAGGCAATTCATATTTCCTTAGGCAAACAAGGTCTTGCCTGATTTTCTGATATTCTTTCTCTTAACACCTCAGTTTGGTTATTCTGATATAAAGAATCCAGCACACAATGAAGATATTAAAACCTTCTTCACCTTAAGCAAACCTCTTCAAAAATTAGAACATTTATGGATCATTTTGGTCATGATGATGATGGTGTTGATGATAGTGATGTTGGCCCTTGTTTGATCTAAGCTTCAACAGTGACCTCCCAGTTTGGATCAGCCTTACTGGAGCTAAAGTAGACAATCTTGAGTTGCTTTGCTCATGTACTGAGTGCTATCCTTCCAACGACAGCTTTCCTTATTCTTCCATTTGTGTAAAAAGGAAGTAGGAAAACTCAGGACTTTCATCTCTTCAGGCTGGTAAATTCGTAGGAAAGAAAAGTTACCAAACAAATGAGAAAAGACAACAGGAGGAAGACTGCAGGGGACTTGGAGAGTGACACAGGAGAATTAGAATTCTCTAATTCTTTAGAATGTCTCTTCTAGAGAAGAGAAATTGGCTCTGAGTAAGGCATGGCATTTCCTTTGGTCTGTTAATGTCCAAGTTATAGGTCACATGAGTCTGTACAGCTTTCCTCCCTATGCATGCACCCTTGAAGTGATCTCAAGTTCTGGACCATCTTCCAGCCTGCACAGGCCTCCAGGGGCCTTCTGAGTAGAGGTGACCTGACGGTGATCAGAGCTACTCCAGGCTGAAGGAGAGTCAGCTCCTTGCTTCTCCACACTGGACCTCAGGGTCCCCAAAAGTTGGGACATGCTGATAGTAAAGAGCCTCTTTCTGAAGGCAAATCATAAAGCCATCCATTCTTTAAATAAATAAAAGGATGCCACCTCCCCTCATATCTGAAAGCACATTAAAGAGCACAGACAGCATCAGTTTTAAAAAGTGATTACAAAACTGTAATTTATGCAGAATGGAACCTCACAGAAGGTTCTGGGCCATGCAAAAGTGGTTTATACACCAGAAATGTCAGTCTTACAGCTTCAGAACATTTCCTTGTGAATGAGAAGAGTCCTCTGAGTTTCTCATCTTGATATGCAAGGGCTGGGGCTGGGTCCCTCCTGCAGGAGTCTGAGGCAACCTGGATAAGGATGCCTCCTCCTCCAGCATCTTTTCCCTCTCCACCCCTTTTTCACCATCCGGCGACTCCAGGGTCACCCCCAGCCCTCTTCTGGTCTGCTGTTATTCTGTCTGATATTACAGTAGCCTCCTAAATGGTCTCTGGGGAAACGAAATTTTTCTTGAGTTGCTTGTTTGTAACTAGAGAGTTCATTACTACTGTTACAGAGAATGACTAACTACAACTTTGCTGTGGGGGCAGATGGAGACAATGATAGTTCTGTCACTCTGGAATTAATATCTGGGAAGACATCACTGTCCACTTAAAATCACTGAAGGAATATTGAACACTGGCCTTTTAAGCTGTCAATGTTTTCCACTTTTAAAGGTTCAAATCTTGAGCCAGTCTGTTAGAAAACATTACCTCATCACACTGTCACTGGGTGAAGAAAAAAATTGTAAACTAACTAAAGACTGAATTTCATACCAAAGCTCTGAGTCCAGAAACCTTGGGGATCACTAGACAAGGAGAATGACAAGAAGAGAGGAGAGTGATTTTTCAACAATGGTGAGCTTGTATATGAGTGTCCTGGGAGACCTGGGCCACAGAAGTGAAGGTGGTGTTGGATGTAATGTCAGTGGAAGTGGCCACTGCAGAGAACCACTGTGTCCTGGTGTGACCA